GCTGAACTGATGAGCTGCTGCTTTGAAATGTTTGTTTTCAGAGTTAAATAATAACTAAATGTTTACTATAATTTTGTGTTTGGCTAACTTATCTTTTTCTTTTTTTTAAAAAGAAATTAATTATTTGAATCTTATGTTGATCTACAGGGAGAACTTAAGATCTCGTAGCCAAACTGTACATGATATAGCCCCCTAGAAGTAGGGGCAGGGTAGCAAAGTTAACAGAAATGTTTGCAGTAACTTTGGTGTTTTGGTGAATTTGCCTGTGGTTTGCCAGGCTTTCTGACAACTACTGTCACTGCAGAGTGGATCCACTGTAATGCTGCAATACCTTTTTTTCAGGGCTGTGAGAACTGAGATGACTTGGAAAAGTGATGGCAAATAGCTGGAAGTACTGGAATTTGACAGTGTCTCTTGGATGAGAGTTTGCATGATGAGAGAAACTTGAGTCATTACAGATGTAAATAATTGCATAATCAGCTAGTAGAATGGACTATTTATGTCTGTGTGTAGGAAAAAAAAATCTTCTACTAGATTTTTTTTTTTACTTTTTAAAAATTTTTTGAAAAACGTTCACCAGAGCTCTTGTAGTGTATTTTGTGTGTGAGTGCAGTTCTGAATGCAGAATTTTTTAGCCTAGAGCAGCCTCAAAGATGAGGCACAGAACTGAGCACAGCACAAGCTTATTAGAGTTCCGCTGGGCTTATTAGCCTGTACTCAGTCCCAGGGAAGCACGGATGCAAGGAGAAAACATGAGGACTCAGGTGTGTCTCCCAAAAGACACAGATCAGTGGTTGTATTTTGTGCTGCCTGAAAACTTGTTTCATCATCTTTGCGGGGTTGAGGTTTTTTTTCAGTTGCTGCAGCCATGAAACCTTGTGTGCAAACAACTGACGTTTGAAGTAGTTGGCAGAAAATTTGATGTGGTGTCAGAATGACAAACTGTCCTATGCCAGCCTTGGCTCTGAAGAGTGTAATTACAAACCTATAGTTCAAAGGCCTTCACAGGGCCTTTGGGTGTTTTGGGGTTTTTTAAAATTTGTTTTCTTCTCCTTCTGTTTGGAAAAAACATCTTGGTTTTCTTCGGCTTGCTTAGCTGTTGAATGAGAAATTAACTCATCTTTTATGTTTACTGCTGTCAAAATAGCAATACCTATTAAGGATAAAAATTAATATTTTATAAATTTAAAAAAAAAGTCAGAATTAATTTCCACTGGGTTAGTGCTCTTTATGGACAGTTCTCCTTTGGTGTAAATGGTGCATTGTTCTGTAAGAAATACAAACACAAGGGTTTTTTTACATACTTTGCTTGAGATGCTGGGAATAGAACTGTTGTCCAGCAAGTGCCAGACACCTGGGACTGGATCGAAGCACCTGAACAGGAGCACTTGCAGATGAATGCTAGAGACCTTTGGGGGCCTGCTGTGTGTGACGTGGGACCAATGGGGATGCACGAGGGCCAGGCACTAGGATGTCTCTGCATGGCATGACTTCGGCCCTCTGGGACACTAATGTTTTTCTGAAACCGTTAGTCAGGGACTGTTATATCAGGGAAATTATGCTTATGTGAATCTTGGAGTAG